AGTGATGGGGAAAAAGAAGTGATTATTACCGTTATTTTTGAATATTGATTAAAAAAATTTTTATTATTTTTTATTAAATCTGAGTTACGTAAATATGTAACACATATTTAATTTAGATTTGTGTAATGTTAATCTTACTAAAATATTAAATTTTTATAAAAATCTTAATTTAGACTAATTCCAAAAATCAGCACATATGTTATTATCATTATCATCTTATCTTATTAGCATTAGTTTAATATTTATATTTTTTCCTAATGGAATAAGAGAAAGATTAGTGGCTATATGCCTAGCTGATATTTCTGTTTTCTTATCATTATGGTAGTTCGTAAAAAAAAAACTTAAAACTTGAACACACATAAGTGCATGTAACAATAAATTTAAAAGACATGAAAATGGAATGTCACTGACATGACGCTAAAAATAGTTTACATAACTATAAAGTCCTCCTATCATGAAAAATTATATGAAAAAAAGATGAATCAAAATTAAGCACCCTTTTTTTACTATAGAGATGCTTAATTTTAGGTGATTTTATAAATATTACTTTCTCTTTAAAAATTTTCAAAAATTGCATCACAAAATTGAGATTTTAGACTGCTAATTCATACTATGATGGTATTATGATTGATAATTTGTATAACTGAATGATTTTTATAAATATGGAATTTACACAAAATACATTTCGTAACCTGTTTGAAACTCTCACAAAAAATGCTGAAGGCTTTGTGCAATAGAACTGTCAAGCAAAAATGTTTCTCATATTCTGTTTATCAGAAGAAACAGGTTATCACTTATGCTAAACTACACAGATAAAATAAAGCAGCAAGACACTTTGATCTTAACGCCAGTATCACTGGTCGAAATAGTCCAAATTGGCTAAAAATTGGATGTCCGATTTTAGGCTAAATTTGGTGATAAAGATGGCTGAATTATCAATCCAAAAAAAGTTCTGATTGGCAGGCCAATCAATACCGATCAGAATGTCTGAATTGTATCTGAATTGCTTAGTATTTTTAATCTGAATTGTTTAAAAAATATATTCATAAATTTACTGAATTGCAGTGAATTTATTCTAAATTATGATAAATTTTGATAAATTGCGATAAATTTTAATCTGAATTACAGTAAATTTTAATCTGAATTACAGTAAATTTTAATCTGAATTACAGTAAATTTTAATCTGAATTACAGTAAATTTTAATCTGAATTGTGGTAAATTTTATTCTGAATTACAGTAAATTTTAATCTGAATTGCAGTAAATTTTCAATTATAAATTTTATTCTGAATTGCGGTAAATTTAATCTGAATTGTGGTAAATTTTATTCTGAATTGCGTCTGAATTGCAGTTAATTTTATTCTGAATTGCATCTGATTTGCAGTAAATTTTATTTTGAAATTTAAAATATTACATATATATATAAAACAATTTTATCCAATTAATATTACAGTTGCCTGAAAACTTGAAAGATGAAGTAGCCGTTTAAAATCACTTTACTGAATTTCCATATATCTAAAAGACCTCAGAATAACATTAAAAATGTTTAATTGCGTAAATAATAAAATACTTTTTTATAAAAGTTTTGAACTTTTTATTTTGAAACTAACCTAGGAATTCGATATACGTTAAATTCCTTAATTCCCAGAAAATCAAAACGTTACCTGTAGAATGGCAAATCAGAGACAATTTCCCTACAAAAAAAATAATAAAAATAATAAAAAAATGTTAAATTAAACGTTTTTTATTAAGTTTCGTCAAAAAGTTTCAAAAATCGAAACTTTACTTGCAGGATTCCGGTATCCAAATTGGAGCTGATTTCCCTGCAAAAAAAATCAATAAAATATAATTAAAAAATGTTAATATTTTTTATTAAGTTTTGTCAAAAAGTTTTGAAAATCAAAACTTTACCTGCGGAATTCTGGTATCCAAATTGAAGCCGATTTCCCTGCAAAAAAAAAAATAAAAAATAATTAAAAAACGTTAAAATAAATATTTTTTTATTAAATTTTGAAAATACGAAATTTTACCTATAGAATTAGCCAAATCAAAGCTGATTTTCTATAAAAAATATAAAAAATGTTAAAAATAAACGTTTTTTATGAAAGTTTTGAAGAAAGAAACTTTGAAACTTTACCTATAGTAGGATTGGCCAAATCGAAGCTGATTTTCTATAAAAAATATAAAAAACATTAAAATTAATGTTTTTTTATTAAATTTCAAAAATATGAAACTTTACCTGTGGATTTGGCCAAATTGAAGCCCCGCACTTTG